AACTGACTGAGCCACCCAGGCACCACTAGAATTCTAAGCTTTCCTCTCCCTGGTATCAACAGAAAAAGCAGACACACTAATTCTTACATTCATCTGCAAGTTAGGCCTCAAACCTAGGTCATTTAAAGGTTTCGTTGGCACAATTTATATTCTGTGGAACTATAGACTACAGCCCTCAAGCAGATAGGTGAGACGGAGGGTGGCACTTTTCATCAAAATGCATTTATTCTCAGATGAACTATACGATTTTTCCAGTTAATTGTCTTTCCCTAACAAACATCTCTTCTCTTCTCTGGACAGTACCTTCTGACCTTTGAAGAAGGTAGCATTTCAACATTCTATTTGATCCCACAACCTAAGTCTAAAATCATTCTATGTTTTTTAACTTAAAAGATGTTTTGATTTTAGAATTTAAAGAGAGTCACACAAACTCGTAGATACAACTACTTTAGATAAACCTCCAAACCTTTTTGATACCTTATTACTAAAATGATCCCACTTACCAAAAAAGGTCAGATTTCTAATAATCTCCAACATTCAAACATTCAACAATAAAACATTATGCACCCAGAAATAAATGAAAAACAGTATCTGCGAAACAAACCGCGGTCACACAATATGCCCCCTCTACCTCCCCATGGAGCCTCTTGGGCTGAACTCTGTAAATTAAGAACCCGCTAAGAATGGCCATCTGAAAGGGAAGATCTAAATTGTAAGAAGATAACACTTCCCCTTAGTAATGGAAAATAAAGACCCATACTTTAAGGAGGAAACTAAAGGGCTAAGAGAAGTCAGTCACTTCGGGTAACCTGGAAGTCTTTTCCAGGGAAAAGTAGGGAATGTGTATCAAAGCCTGAGAAGGGGCATAACCTTAGATGCAACCATTCCACTTATTTTTTATCCAAAAAAATTCATGCCACGGTGAACAAAACAGCGAGGAGTTCCTGTCCATGGACAGCTAACAGACGCCGCGTGTTTACAACGTCCTGTCACTCAGAGAACTTTAGATGTGTTGACTCATTGAATCATCCCAGCGACACGATGATTTGCAGACTTCTGTGATCTCCGTGTCACAGATGAAGAGGTTGAAGTACACACTGTAAGTAACTTGCCCGGTTAGGCTTCTTCTGGATTTCTGTTCTCTCCACTATCCTCACCAAAGAAACTGTATTCTACAGACACCCCCTACCTTTGCCCCTCTTGACCATTCTTAAAGCGCACGTGCGCGCGCGCACACACACACACACACACACACACACACACAGCCATGGTTTGCAAAAGACAGAAAGGCAAGATTAAAGGCATGAATGGACCCTATTCACTGGATAGGTAATCTTTAGCAATTTACTGAATCTCAATAAACTTTAGCTCCTTCCTTTATAAAATAGATAAAATCAGAGCACTTATTCATATGGCTGTTGTGGGGATGAGGAGAGATAGTAAATGTAAAGTGCTTAGCGAAGTAACCGGTACAGGAAAAGTACTCAGCAAATATTAACTCTTGATATTGCTCTTTGTTGTTTGTTATTGAATGGGGGTAGAGACGCAAACATTTATCACATAGCTGCTAATAACTGCCAGATATTAAATGCATCACATACCCGTCTCATTGGGGGAAAAAACAACTCGAAGTATAAGATAACGAGTAACAGGTACTATACCTTTATAAAATGTGGGCAGAATATTTTTTGCAAAAAAGTTCTCTGCGTTCATGTTGTACTGGACTTTTCAGCTAAAGCTAACTTGTCTAATCTAAGTGTTTTAATTTTTTTCTAGTAGACTAATAGATATTCTAGTAGACTCCCACGATATCGAGGAGATACAAGCACAGGTAATAATAGTTCCGGACTGGCCAAAGGAGCTTTGACAAAGGGTTTCATTGGAGACGTGGCCTCACTGGAACATCAAGTAACACGAAGAAGTAAATAGGGAACTAATGTGGCTCTTCATCAAAATTATTTAAAGCTTTGGAAGAAATAGTAAACAAGGAAGAATAAAAGAACCAAATGGAAAGATACAGAGAAAAACATCCTAAATAACCATTCCTCAAAATAAACACACACACACACACACACACACACACACACACACCCTTAAAAGTAATGAAAACAAGCTTCTGTTGCAAACTTCATCTTGACAAGGGCCCCATTACGCATGCAATCCTAACAGCCCTCTCTTCATGCTAGGCACTGTGTTCTCTATTTTACATGCATTGCCTCGTTCAGTCCTCCTCCAAGCCCAAGAAATTGGTAAGACTACGCTTTTCCGAGAGAACTGAAGCTAAAAACTAGCAGAGCTCAGAGACTACATTTTTCTGAACTGGGTTTTCTGCTGTAGGAGCGCACCAGTCATGTGGGCTTACAGGTCTGGAGAGAAAGGGTGATTCTCTTCGCCCCTTCACGCATGCTCACGGTTCTTCCTCCATCCAGCGGTAGACCTGCAACCAAGCTTCCCATGCTGGGAAAGACGGACAGTGGCAGCTCCCATGGCTCCAGATGATGGTGGCCTTGGTTGGCCAAATGGTCATCCCCTGCCACGTCCCACACAGCGACCCTCTCCTCAACATAATCAAAGGACATGCACTCTCTAAACAGTCCATTTAGGTGCACAGACTACAAAGTGAAACAAATACTGAATCCCTAAATATGAAGTCCCACTGAGCATAACTATACATATTTATAGACTCAAAAAGGGGGAAAGTAGTGTTCCCTAACATTAGCCTGTCACATGGAAACAAAATTTTTTACCTGTGAATTTGTCCATAACACAGCATAAGCCACGACCTGCATCTTACACAGAGACATAATGTGTATTTTGCAGATGGAAGGAAAATCCCACTATACATCTCAAAGGCCATACGCTACCATTTAACACGGTGTCTAGATTGTCTTCTAGTATCAGACTTTCCCGGTTCAGGCTGTGCAATCAAACACAGCTCTGCTTGAATTCAGCTCTGGGCCCTGGAACTTACTTGCTGTTGATCTGAGGAGCGGTCCCTGTTGTAGTTGCTGTTTTTCAGTTATAAAATGGAAACGATGCCATCTGTCATTTGACATATAACGCCATTTCGGACAGGTCCATTGTTAAAGTTAAACATGACGTATTTAAAGAGCTAAGCACGATACCTCCTCCACAGTAAATGCTCACTGAAATGGCAGTTATTCTTATTAAAATTGAGGTCATTGACACTACAGAGCCTTTCTTCTCTGAGTACTCCAAAGCCTATCACCAATTCTGTGTGTGTGTCTGTGTGTCTGTCCGTGTCTGTGTGTCTGTGTAAAAAACACTATTATGATCCAAATCATGTGTTCTTCTCTGCATGCAATACTAAAGTACAATATGGACAACTAACCTGCAGTGTACATCACAACATGTCAGTGCAAAATGTGCCCAAGTGTTTAGGTATTAGAGATGCACAGAAGTATTTTTATTAGAACTTGGAAAGACAGTTTGAAATAGGCATCTCTCCATTTCCTTCTTGCTATTCACTAATGTCAGGACCAAAGAGAGCTCGTGCTTTGCCGCCAAAATATGGCATTCTGAGGATCAGTCTCTTTCCAAATCACCCAAATCCATGGTTTGGGGGAAGTCTTTATTTGTGAATTATGACGAGTACTAAGCCCTCTGAGATTCTGAATCAAGATAACCAAGTAAAGGATTATTTTACAGTCACTAGAAAAATCTCAGATTGCATTGTATTTGTGGTTACAATGAATTCATAAATAATGGTAATCAAATTTAAAATGTACATCTTAATCTTGTACTAAATAACAGTACAGTATTCTAGCCTGTAACTGAAAATAAAAATATTTTATGCTGAGTTTTACATCACATATTTATTTTAAATACATTAGTGGATAATCTAATGAGAGAAATGAGTATTCTTTCTTTGTAAAGCATTAATTTGGGTACTAATAACAAATTAAATTAGGGTATGGAGCAAGTAGAAAAAAATGAACATAGCCCCACTTGCACTGACATTAATTTTGTACAAAATTAAAATTTCACGGGGTCATAAACTAAAGAATGATGAAGTTTACTTTAAACCTCAAAATGTGAAACAGAAACTGAGTTTTAGGAGATATTTCTCTTTTAGAGACACTGAAAAATCTGGACTGCTATTGAATCAGAGCAAGCTCTTTTGAAATATCAGGCTTCCTACAGTTTACATGATGTTGATAGGTTTCTCTAATAAAGGCGTTGGGTATTAAAAGGTGAATAAAGCACATATCAAATTTTGTTTTGTCCAATTAAAAAACTGTCTTAACCCTAAGGAAAAAAAATGCTCACAATAACCCAGTAGGAGCCTCAATTACAAAGAATCTGCAGCATCTGAAAATGAGTATATTTTTGAAAAGATTTTCTTTATTAAGTTTATCTTAAAGTTACTTGGGGTTTCACAATTTGGTACTTGGGAGTTTCATAAATGAAATAACCCAGTTTGCACATATCACGCTGTCTGTTAAAACTAAAAATTAAGGGTAAATAAATGCTCTTCAATGCCAAGTACAGTTTGGTTCCACAGTTGCTTACATTACATTGCCACATAAGAAATGTTGGCTCTACTCTGGAATTAACATTGAAATTTTTCAAATATCTCTCTTGATAATTTTACCAAAAGTGATTTATTTTAAAACAATAAGAGCTACAAATTGAGACGAGCTTAGAGAGATAACAGCCTAGTGTCTTATTGTCCTCTGCTGACAGGAAAGCATATTCTTTACATACTGTACTTAGCTATAAAACACGTATTTTTCCTTGGTTAAAAAAAAAAAAAACTTTTCTGGATTATTTAATAGGCTATTTCGAGACTATGAGAGGAAAAAAAAAGAAAAACAATTATTTGAGAAATAGTGTTCCACGGTGGAAGAAAAATTAAGAGAAATTATTTGCATCTCCTTTGGGTTATTCACAATACTTGGAGGCTTTCGTTCTCTCCAGTTAGTGCAATTTATTTTTCCACACGTCTCAGGAGCAAACAATGTTATTTAGACTCTAACCTGGCATGCTACCACCTCTGGCCCGCCCTTGAGCCCCTCCATCGCAAAGGTCTCCAGGTGCAGTCTGGGTAGCTGCAGGGTGAAGTCATTCCTACTTGCCGCAGTCCGTGACAGCGAGATCTGATCTCTGACCTAAAGGGAAAAAAACAGCATCAATGGTAATTCCCCTTCAGACACATTAACTGGGATGAACTGGGTCCCCTTGAGCCCACTGAGTGGACTTGCATTGATCGCTGGACCTGAAATCCATGAATAAATTTAGGACTAATTGATTTTTCGTTGCAAATAAATCTCTAATTCAGAGTGCTGGGGGAGAATGTTAAGAAGAAAAAGCATCCTCCTGCTTGAAATGAGGGAGGGAAGAAGAGTCACTGGAGCTCTTCTGATCAAGAGGTTTTGAATTATTTTTTCACTGTTCCACCCTCAAAAGAAAAAAAGAAAGAAGGAAAAAAAATACCCACAAAATCAAAAACAAACAGCGATCTCCTAATTACTGTCACTTTCTTAATAGCGTGTTTCATTTAACTGGTATTAACTGATATATATTAGACAAGATAGTTATTAGGTGCTAGTCTTTGAAAAGAAAACTTCAATAATATGTACCCTTGAATAAAAACAAATAGACTCAACACACAAGGAGACTTAAAAATATACCAGGCAGAGGTTTATTTGCCCATTTCCTTCTGACTAAACTTGAGTCTTAACGATTAAATACATATAAACCAACTCAGTCACGCAACTTCTAAATAAGATAACGAATAAAAGCAGTGGTATTTGTACTATATTTTAGGTATTCGGAAAGGTAACAATACAAATATATCACAGATACGGGAGAAATACCAATTCTCTAGCCAGTATAGGGATCACAGGCAGTTGATATTACACTGCCACCTTCTGGACAAAAGAGAAACTACGCCCCCATATACTACACGTAGATAAAAAGAAAATGCTCTGAAACAGATCTGTTTTCATCTTTAATTTCCAAACTTAGTAAGAGCTCTAAGATTTTCACAGCCTAGTTTTCCTAAGATCGGTGAGCTTTCGTTTTTAATTATATAGTTTAACGATAGTAGATTTCATATGTAGGTATATTTTCTAACTTTCCTTATGCCTGACTTTGTTCTAAAAATGTATCTCTTTGCTACCATATATTGGATAAATATTATGCAACCAGCTTAAAGCCACAGGGTCAAAAGTGTTTTTGCTGAAGTAGTAACGGTCAAGAATTGGAGAACTATAAAAAATAGCACTAATTGCTCAAACATATTTGTCTATATCCCCACTTTTCCCTGAGCAACTTCAAAAGTAACTTGGCAACAATATAAGATAGGAAACCTCTCCTTTGCTTTTCTATTCGACTTGGGAAGCTTCCGAAACCTGTTTGAATTATTTCTTATTTTATGAATGAACTATCACACTGCATACAGTTTCCTTAAACCAGCAAACACACAAACATTTGATGCCATCTTTAATTGTTCATGCTAATCTACGCTTATAAAAATCTTTATACTCCCAAGTTGAGCAGAAGTAGCTCTGTCAATAAGTGAATGTCAAATGTATGCTATAAAACATACACTGTAATGCAATTTTTATAATGGTGTGAGTACTGTATGCACACCGGAGTCCCAATTCAGAACGTTTCTTTATCTCTAACAAACATTCTCCAGAGTCCTCAGTCAGGATGAGAATGCTTTTAACTTACTTAACATAACAAAATAAATCCTATTTTACAAATACATTTGCTTTAGGTTTTATATTTTATATGTATGGATACCTTCTCCTGCTTTTTGTGGTCACCAATGCACACTCAGATAAAAGAAAACATTAATGTGGATTAAGGTACTGAGAATTTATCAACATCAAACCACTAGTGTTTTTGCCTTCTACCCTTCTGAACCATAGTCAATAGATCTAAATATTTTACTGTACCCTGGCCAATTCATTGTTTGATGTTTAAAAACTCACCCAGAATCAAAGAAAATTTATTAAATTTGAGCCCCCAAATGAGATACTATTAGCTTTGAAAGTCAAGTTTAACTGCGATATTGATGATTCTCTTTTTTCTGTGACAAAATTCACTAGGGAAATCCTGGAAGTCAAAGTACAAAAGCAGATTGCTAATATGGGCAAAGGGGGAGGGAGGACCATAAGCAATGGAGGCATAATCCACAACACAGCTCCAGCTCTGGAGGTCCTTGAACCCGATGATTATCAGGCACCAGACTTCAACTGTGAAGCCTGAAATACAGGAACAGTAAGCCACCATTTTATAGTCTCTAAATAAACTCACTGAACAACAGGAAGCTGGGGCATTTGGCAGTTAAACCTGGGACTTCTTATCAAATTAACATTCTCACTACAACATTATTTAATTTGCCACATTTAATTGTTCTTTATATTAAATAGGAGGGGGAAACTCAAAATCCAGTTGTTTTGCTAAACCAAATAATGGGCATCATAATTACAACTTTATTTGAATATGTATGTGTTAATACTTTCATTTAATTGTAAAGGTGTTGAGACTGGGCAGTGCCATCAAGAGAGAGTACTACATAACAGACATAATATCACAAATATTTCTACTACATTTTAAGAGTTGATTTAAGAGTAAATTAAGCCAGAACTTTGAGAGAAGGCATCCAAAATGTTCTCCAAGTATTTCTAGAAGTTTTCTCTCACCCTTAAAAAAGGATCAGCTAGGAATTTTTTTTATCGTCAGGGGTACAGGGAGTGAAAGCAGCACATTGAGAGAAGACAAAACAGTGACAGAGGACAAGTAAAATTACAACCAGCAGCAAAGAAGCAGGAAGGGAAGGTGACAAGGAACAGGAAAACATGAAGGGTGAAAGATGAGACTGTTCAGAAGAGTGCAGAAAGCAAGCCTGAATTTCAGAGGGTGAACAGGATAAATGGGAAGGAGACTCAACCCAGAGCAGTAAGAAAAAAGATTCACCCCGTACTGCATTCAATTTGTTTATGAAAAACATAGAACAGGCAGCCTGAGAACAAAGTAACCAAAATCAGAACACAGGTAAGTGAGATTTCCTCGGGAAACACTGTCCATTGGATATAAAATGATTCCTTTCAAATGCGAGAATCTAAAATAAACTTCTCTACTGTCAAAAGAATTCTGAAGTAACAATATTAGAATAATAAAATCACTTTTTTCCCTAACAGGAGAAGGAGGCTCACCTTTGAAAATACAGATTTTAGTGTGTGAACTAAGTAAGATGCAAACCACCATTGTCACCTGTCTGTACATTAAATGACAATTACAAATTTCGAACTAAAATTATGATTTCAAAAGTCAGTCTTTAATTCTGTTATAGCACATCATTATTCATCCTTCAATTAAGATTCTATACCCGTTTCACTGTATTTATAGCTATGAATGATAACATGTATATAATAATGTTTTTCTATTTCAAAATGGGTAACAGTCCATACTTAACCTATAACGAATTTTTTCATACAATTTCACAATATAAATCTCATTTGCCAAATTGCATAAATTTTTACAACATTCTATATAACTGTTCAATTTCATAATATTTGGACAAAGAATAAAGAAAACATACCTCCATTACTATACTCTGAAATTCTGATGTTTAGGAAAGTAGTTTGCTTTCTCCCTTCCCTATTACATACTTTCAGAAAGCACATATTTCTAACAGATATGTCATAAGACACAAAAGAAACAAGAGATGGAGAGAAAAAAATAAATGAAACTTTCTAAGAAGTCAAAACACGGTATGAAATATCTATTTATTTTATCCTCACACTCGAGTTCCAGACTGAAGTGATTCAGAAGACCCGTGTTCCTATTCCTCCACTTGGCCTTTACTCACAAGCCTCCAATCTGTTTTCTAATTTTCTGTACTCCCACCATAACACAAAAAAAGCTATTCCTGGTGGACAGATCAACTCTGAGACTACATTAGTCATTTTTGGAAAAACTGTTCAACTCTCAAAATGTGAACCTGCGTGTCGTATCACACACAACTATAAATCCCTTCAGACCTAATGTTCCAAATGAAAAGACACACACACACAAAATGTGGTACTAGCTGTGTTTTTACCACCAGGACACTAAGGAAGAAGTAGTAGGGTTGTAGGTAGAAATTCAGGTATGCTTACCACGTAAAAAGATACACATAGTGCCTGAATCTTAAATCTGGGGAAAGTAAGTGATAATTAGTATTTCACATCATACCCTTGAGCTGGTTAAAATTTTACTTACTCCAATCTAGTATGGCATCCATTGCTTCAAAATAATCATTCTGACCACAGACAGTGTCATCAAGAAGAGATCATGGTCTACAGTGTTTCCTGTGACCTCCTTTCTTATCACCCTGTGTTCATGTTCTACTTTGTTTACACTTCCCTACCTTCCTCTGTCCCACGCCCTCCTGTGCCCTTCCTTCCACCTCCACTGATTCCTTATGGCTTTCCCTTCTCTCTTTGTCTTCCTACACTAGTGCAGACTATTTTTCAACCTCTGCACTAGAAAGCAGCATGTCCTTGGCACGCTACAGCCCAGGAACCAAATCCAGCCCACCGCCTGTTATTGTAAATAAAGTTTTATTGGAACACATGACACCCATTCATTTACCTATTGTCTTTGGCTGTCTTCCTGCCACCATGACAGAGATGAATAGTTGAGACAGAGACCATATGGTCCACAAAGCCTAAAATATCTACTGTCTGACCCTTTACAGAAAACGTTGGCCATCTTCTGCCTTAAAGGTACAAAAGGAAAGACAGTATTTTTCACCAGCTGTCAAGTTTTTTAAATAACCACATCTCACCAGAGAATATCTCAACAATTTTTAGCAGGTGAACCTTCTATCAGTAACACAGGGTTGCATTCCATAGGCACTTTCTGGCTTCTTTTTCTCAAGTGTAAGTGTACTATCTCCTGATAAATAAGTGTACTATCTCCTGATAAACTTTCAAGTTTTATGTAGTCTGGTATGCAACATGACTGGGTCTAACTTTCCTGGCACATCCTCTCATACCTAATCAACATAAAATTTGGTTAAACAAGTAGAATAGGCATACGGGAAAGCCTTTTGTAAACAGAGAAGAGCATCATCCAGAGTTAACTCTGTAAGCACACTGCTAGCAAGAAA